ACATTTTGGTCGGCACGGATCCATTTAGGCCGAAGGGCCTGTCTCTGTGTTTTGGGACTCAATGACTCTATGACAAGAATGCTTCTAGTGATGATGAACTTCAGTTCTGATGATGAATTGAAGAAGTTGGGATTATTTTCCTATGAAAAAAGAAGACAACGAGGAAATTTGATTGGGGTATTCAAAAATCATGAGGGTCTGGCAGAATTGAAATTGAGGGCACAGACTTGAAGCAATTGGTAAGCAAAATAAAAAAAAAGTGACATTGGGATAAACTCTCTCAGGCAGCAAGTAATTCGGGTTTTGAGTACACTGCTTGAGAGTGTGATGGAGGCAGGTAGATCGGGGAAGGCTCCGATGTAGTGGTAATGTCACTTGACTAATAATTCAGAGTGTATAATACTGTGGGGACATGGGTTCAAATTCTACCATGGCAGATGATGAAATCTGAATGAAAAGAGAAATGCAATTAAAAGCTAGTCAAATTGCAACCATGTAACCATTGTTGACTGATGTATAAACCCACCTGGCTCACTAATGCCCTTCAGGGAAAGAAATTTGCTCTCTTTACCTGATCTGGCCTACATGTGATTCCACACCCATAATATTGACTCTTAAATGCCCTCTGAAATAGCCTAGCAAACGCCTGAGTTCCTTGGCAATAAATGCTGGCCCAGCCAATGATGCCTACATCCAATGAATGAATAAAAAAACAATCAAAATATGCAAAAGGATCATGCATCAAGTGTTAATTGTAAAGGAAGAATATACAGGGTGACGGGGAGAATTGATCAAAGAGGTGGGCTGAATGGCATCCTTCTGAGCTGTAACAATTCTGTGATCCTCAGGCTTTGAGTTACAGGGAGAGGCCGAATAGGCCGTAGCATTTTTCCCTGGAGCGTGGAGGCTGAGGGGTGACCTTATAGAGGTTTACAAAATCGTGAGGGGCATGAATATGATGAATAGTCTATGTTTATTCCTAGGGTGGTGAAGTCCAAAATTAGAGGGCATAGGTTTGAAAGGTGAGAGGGGAACGATTTAAAAAGGACCCAAAAGGTAACTTTTTCACCCAGAGGGTGCTGCGTGTATGGAATGAGCTGCCAGAGGAAGTGGTGGAGCCTGGTTATATTACAACATTTAAAAGGCATCTGGAATAAAAGATATATGAATAGGAAGGGTTTAGAGGCTATGGGCCAAATGCTGGCAAATGGGAATATTAGATATCAGATTAGGATGTCTGGCCAGCGCAGACAAGTTGGACTGATGAGTGTGTTCCCATGCTGTATGACTCTATAACCAGACAGATTTTTACAGCATTATAACATGGATGTGATGACAAATCATGAGAAAATCAGCAGCAGGGCCAGTTACTCAATGAGCTTTTGCTGCAAGAAGAGTAGGATCCACCACTTAATCAGCTATTTGTAAGGAATTTTCAGAAAGTTAAGTTTATTTTTAAGAAGCAGCATCGAAGATGTGACTTATTAATTAATTAGACGGAAAAATAAATGCCTAGAGCAGAGGTCTGAGTGAGAAAGCAAGCTGGTGAATTAAATGACAGAAGTATTAGTGTCATGCTTGCAGAGTGAGTGGAAGTGCTCCAAAAAATGGCCCATTAAATCTGGTGTTTCATGTCCCCAGTATAGGGGTAGCTGTAGTGTGAGCAATGAACACAGCATATTGAAAGAAATACATGTAAATCACTGCTTCATCTGGATAATGTTTGTGGCACCAGACAATGAGATTTGTTTTAAGGCTCAGTCTAATATCACAGAACAAATACTTTTGTTCTGACATTTCAAGAGTAGCAAAGGTTACGGCTATAAATATCCTGTTTGCACTAGCTACATGTTTAACACTAAATAAAGTTTTTTGCTGGTCTAGGTATAGAGCCACAGTCTGAATGTCCTTCCATCCTCCAAAGTCAAGGAGAATATGTGGTGGAGTGTGATAGAATGCAGTAAATAGCAGTGCAATGATAGGATGTTCCCTGGGTTCACTAACAGATATTAGGTAGCAAAGGACACTATTTCAAGTACAAGATTAACGTATGGGAGAGCACAGTGACAAGGAATCCAAGAAGAATGTCTAATGTTTAAAACTACGGAAAAAGCAACAGGAAACACAATTGCCAAAAATCGCCGTTCTATTTTAAACAAAGCAGATATTATAATATTTTTTAATAATCTATAAGGGTATCACAGTTTGTATAAGCTGGCCTGGACATGATGAACTGAAAGATTATGGTAAAGATGGAAACCACTCTATTTCTATTAATTACAGTTGAACTAGAACACCAATTTACGAGACAGTTAGCTATGCAGATGGGAGCATGAAATTGGAAAGACATACAGTCAGAATAAGTGAATCGATTTACCTGTGGCTAATGGAGTTCAATGTGGGAAAGTGTCATATTACTTTGCATCCACGACAAGAATACTTCCAAATGAAGAGAAACCAGAAACTGGAAGAGCAAAGTTACTCAATGCATGTCCAAAAGACACAAATTATTGAGGCACAAAAAATAATCAAGGCTAATGAAAAGCTGGCCTTTAGCTCATGCAACTGAGCTGGATACAAAGCAGACGAGGTTACAATTCAGTTGTATGCAGCCTTGTTTTACAATTCTCCCCCTTTGTCCAGAAACTCCCCACCTACGTCCGTGACACCACCCACGCCCTCCACCTCCTCCAAAACTTCCAATTTCCCGGTCCCCAACACCTCATCTTTACCATGGACGTCCAGTCCCGAGACACCTGCATTCCCCATGCAGATGGCCTAAAGCCCTCCGCTTCTTCCTGTCCCGCAGGCCCGACCAGTCCCCCTCCACTGACACCCTCATCTGCTTAGCCGAACTCGTCCTCACCCTCAACAACTTCTCTTTCAATTCCTCCCACTTCCTACAGACAAAGGGGGCGGCCATGGGTACCCGCATGGACCCAAGCTATGCCTGCCTCTTTGTAGGTTACGTGGAACAATCCCTCTTCCGTAGCTACACTGGCCCTAAACCCCACCTCTTCCTCCGTTGCATTGATGACTGTATCGGCGCCGCCTTGGGCTCCCACGAGGAGCTCAAACAGTTCATCCACTTCACCAACACCTTCCACCCCAACCTTAAGTTCACCTGGACCATTTCTGATACCTCTCTCTCCTTCCTGGACCTCTCTGTCTCCATCTCTGGCAACCACCTGGAAACCGATATCCATTTCAAGCCCACCGACTCTCACAGCTGCCTAGAATACACCTCCTCCCATCCACCTTCCTGCAAAAATGCCATCCCCTATTCCCAATTACTTCATCTCTGCCGCATCTGCTCCCAGGATGAGGCATTCCACTCCCATACATCTCAGATGTCCTCCTTTTTCAATGACCGCAACTTCCCCTCCTCAGTGGTCGAGAACGCCCTTGACCGTGTCTCCCGCATTTCCCGCAACTCATCCCTCACACCCCCTCCCCGAAATAACAACCAAAACAGAATCCCCCTCATCCTCACGTACCACCCCACCAACCTCTGGATTCAACGCATCATCCTCCGACACTTCTGCCATCTGCAATCCGACCCCCCCACCAAAGACATTTTCCCTCCCCACCCTTATCTGCTTTCCGGAGGGACCACTCTCTCTGTGACTTCCTTGTCCGCTCCACACTCCCCTCCAGCCCCACCACACTTTTCCCTGCAACCGCAGGAAATGCTACACCTGCCTCTACACCTCCCTCCTCACCCCCATCCCAGGCCCCAAGAAGACCTTCCACATCAAGCTGATGTTCACCTGCACATCTGCTAATGTGGTATACTGCATCCGCTGTTCCTGTTGTGGCCTCCTCTACATCGGGGAAACTAAGTGGAGGCTTGGGGACCGCTTTGCAGAACACCTACGCTCGGTTCGCATTAAACAACTGTACCTCCCAGTCGCGAACCATTTCAACTCCCCCTCCCATTCCTCAGATGACATGTCCATCCTGGGCCTCCTGCAATGCCACAATGATGCCACCCAAAGGTTGCAGGAACAGCACCTCATATTCTGCTTGGGAACCCTGCAGCCCAATGGTATCAATGTGGACTTCACAAGCTTCAAAATCTCCCCTCCATCGACCGCATCCCAAAACCAGCCCAGCTTGTCCCTGCCTCCCTAACCTGTCCTTCCACCCACCTATCCCCTCCTCCCACCTCAAGCCCGCCCCCCATCTCCTACCGACTAACCTCATCCCGCCCCCTTGATCTGTCTGTCCTCCCTGGACTGACCTATCTCCTCCCTACCTCCCCACCTACACTCACCTTTACTGGCTCCATCCCCGCCTCTTTGATCTGTCTGTCTCCTCTCCACCTATCTTCTCCTCTGTCCATCTTCTATCCGCCTCCCCCCTCTCCCTATTTATTTCAGAACCTCCTTCCCCTCCTCCATTTCTGAGGAAGGGTCTAGGCCTGAAACGTCAGCCTTCCTGTTCCTCTGGTGCTGCTTGGCCTGCTGTGTTCATTCAGCTCTATACCTTGTTATCTCTTGTTTTACAGTGATAAGGTTTGTTTCAGAATTTCAGTTTGTAAATAATCAATGCTTTGAAACTCCAGAGATATGAAATCATTATGAATTTCCAAGGAACAAGTGAACTAGAGTCTGACAGCAGGTAAAACAAGTCAAGTTAAAGAAGCAGTTTACAAGTTTTATATGAAAGGTTATCCAAGTTTTTTCTTTTGTCCAAGCAAGGGGTTAAGGTGTTCATTTGTTCATATCTTCAGTGTCATCACTTGCTTCTGTATAACGAAGTTAAAATTTAGAAATCTCATTTTGGAGATGTATTTTCTGCAGCAATGTTCAGGAAATAAATCTGCATTTTAATGTTACTGTCATTGGAAGTCTTCTGAGTATTGAAACACAAGAACTAGGAGCAAGAGTAGGCAATTCAGCCCCTTAAGCCTCAGTATGAATTTAGTATGGGTGTGGCATTTCAAGATACAGCACAACAAAGGTGAATTAAATCACTTGTTCATTTAATCACTACATGAATGATTTGTTCCAGCTAAGTTGTCAAATTTCCAAGTTTTAAGCAGAATTAAATCATTTTATTGCAGTTTTACAGTAGTGAATGACTAAAAAAGTAACAGTATTGGGTCCAGAAAGTGTAAAATTGATAAACATACAATGTTGTCAGTCAAAAGTGAGGTGGAGAAACAGATTTAAATTCATGTAGGTTAGATGTCTTCCTTGGTTCATAAGGTTCTATTTTCATGGCTTCAAGTTGTAAACACTTCACTTAAAGGTAAGTAATTAGGTGATCAGCCATTGTCCATGAAGGACCATAGGCATCTCTCTCCATTACAGACAGACCGACGGTTTTAGCTGCATGAATACCGCTGAGGGTAAGGCAAAGAGGCACATTTTCATGACTGACCACACCTAAATATTTGTTCAGAAAACAATCAGAATTTTAAAGGACTGTCCCTTTCTTTGGTTTGAACAGGGAATAAAAAAAATTCAGATGAGAAGACAGCAGCATCATCAGTTGCTTCAGGTTCACAGTTACACGGTTTTGTAACTGTGTTTACTGTGTGTGTTTCATTCCTTCCCACTACTTAGTGTCCTTTCTGTTTTCTCAATGACATCAGCAGCCTTATTGTTGAGCTCTCTGCATTCCTTCAAAATATCTGTGTATTAAAAATAAGTATCAGTCAGAATCATTAGTATTTAACAACATAACTGCAGTTTTAAAGTGTCAGAATTACATTTAAAATAGAATCACCAAACTGTACACTCAGTCAAACAATAGGGGAAGAACCCTTACAATAAAACTTCTCAACAGCTTCATTAGACTGAGTTTTCTGTATTGGTTTGAGCTCCCAGTAATTGTCCTCAACCCATTTCTTGGGATCAGGTAGTTCACCAACAGGACCATTGCTGCACATTTCTGAAAATAAGAGCAAAATTGGATTTAAGTAGCACCTTTCACAACCTCACAATGTCCAAAACCACTGCATTGTCAAATTACTTTTGAAGGCTAATCATGGTTGTAATGTAGGAAACCCAGCAGCTAATATGCACATAGCCATCTGTCACCACAGCAATGTTGGTTGAGGGATTAATATTGGCAAAGGAGAACACCCCATACTCTTCTTCATAAAGTTCTATTTCTTCATATTCCATGACATTGAGCAATTTTTTTATATTTAGATAATTCTACATAATAGTTTTGGTGTGTCGAGAAAATGAAATCCTGTGATAATGTGGAGCTACACCACCAACTGCTGGTTACAACTTTCAATTACAGATGTTATCCCCCCACCAAGGACCAACTTTAGGAAATATCTATTGTACCAGATTGTATCAGCAATGTCAAATGCAAAACATTAGCAAAATTGATGACAACATCAAGTGTGGCTTACGGGCAGGAAATATGCTTACACACACTAAAGTGTTTAAGTGGGAAAACATTCCAGACTCTACACAAAAGAATAATCAAACACGACTTTCAATACAATGCTCGTCCATTTTATGTCCAAATATTTGCCACTTGCCTAGACGAAGTCAGTTTCAATAACACTCAAGAAACGTGACACACCCACGATAAAGCAGTTGCTTGATTGGCACCACATCCACTCCCTTCACCACTGATTGTTCAGTAGCAGCAGTGATGCATTGCAATGACTCACTAGAATTCCTTCACCATCCAAACCTATAATCCTTACCATCGAGAAGGACAAAGGCAGCAGACACGTGGGAACACCACCAAATGCAAGTTACTCTCCAAGTCACACACCATCCTGACCTGGAAATCTGTTATTTCTTCATTGTTGCTGGGTCAAAATCCTGGAACTTCCTTGCTGTCAGTACTGTGGGGGTTCAAACAGCACGTGGACTGCAGTGGTTCATGAAAGCAGCTTACCACCACCTTCTCAAGGGCAACTAGGTTCAGGCAGTAAATGCTGGACTAGGCAATGAGGCACATGTGATCAAACAAAAGAATCATAATCCAAATGGGAGAGGAGAGTAAGGGGAGAATGAGAAGGCCTGTCTAGTCTGTTTGGCTGGCAGCTCCAGCAGTCTCAATAGCATCAGGATGTGATAATGAGTTCTGCTGGGACTGGAAGCAGGCCCCAGGATGAAGATAGCCACACTGCCTGGATTTTGGACAGGAAAACCAGAGAGGGTTGTCGGGACATGGGGCTGACAAGATTTGGAGGCTATGTGTGGAGGAACAAAGTGTGGGTGGGTTTGGTGAAGGGTGGGAGGCTATACTTGGGGATGGTGGAGCTCTTTAATTCCTGGCCACCTGGGAGCTCCTGTCAACACTTTCATGAATAGAAATGGGTTTCCACTCAAATAATTGTGGGTTATATGTGACCACAGATATTCTGAAAATAGGTGGTGGTGTTGTGATAATGGACAGATAATCCTATGGTTTTGACTAATGCACTGACACTATCGGTTCAAATCCTGTCAAGGCAGCTGTTGGAACTTAAATTCAACTATGTAGAAGTCTTCACTATTAGTCTTTTTCTCTTTTTATTGGTTTGGAGCCGTGGGTTGAAGTTAAGAGTTAAATTTTGAATAGTAGCCTGTTTTAAAGATGAGACCAAAGACAAATGTTTGCTTTTGGGAATTAACCAGTAAGATAATACCAATCTTAGAAAGGCTGTAAGGAGAAACCTAGGAACTATAGACCAGTGAGTCTGACATCAGTGGTGGGTATGTTGTTGGAAGGGATTCTAAGGGACAGGATTTACATGCATTTGGAGAGTCAAGGATTGATTAGGGGTAGTTAACATGGCTTTGTGTGTGGGAAATTATGATTTCTTGATTGAGTTTTTTTAGGGATGTGACCAAAAAGATAGACAACGTTGTCTACATGGACTTTAGTAAAGCCTTCAATGTTCCACATCGTAGACTGGTTAGTAAAGTTAGATCAAGTAGCATTCAAGGAGAGCATGCCAATTGGATACAAAATTGGCTTGACGGTAGAGGGCGGTAATGGAGGCCTGTGACCAGTGATGTTCTGCAGGAATTGGTGCTGGGTCCACTGTTGTTTGTCATTTATATAAACAGTCTGGATGTAGATTTAGGAGGCATGGTTATTAAGTCTGGATGACACCAAAATTGGTGGTATAGTCGACAAGGAAGCAGGTTATCTAAGATTACAAAGGGATTGTGATCAATTGGGCCAATAGGTGGAGGAGTGGCAGATGGAGTTTAATTTGGATAAATGTGAGGTATTGTATTTTGGTAAAATGAAAAACTGCAGGACTTATACAGTTAATGAATCATAGAATCCCTACAGTGTGGAAATAGGCCCTTCGGCCCAACAAGTTCACACTGGCCCTCAGAGCATCCCATCCAGACCCATCCCCCTATAACCATATAAACTGATTAGCAGACAGGAAACAAACAACAGGAATAAATGGGTCTTCTTCTGAATAGCAGGGGTTCAACAGGATTGGTACTCGGTCCCTAGCTATTTACAATACATATGAAATGACTAAGATGAGGAAACTAAACGTAATATCTCAAAATTTGCAGATGGCACAAAGCTGGGTGGAAGGGTGAGCTGTGAGGAGAATGCAGAGATGTTGTAGTTGGGGCCCTGGGTAGTGTTGTTGAACAAAGAGACCTAGGCGTTCAGGTACATAGTCCTTTGAAAGTTGCCTTCATTGCTCAGACCATTGAGTATAGGAGTGGGACATCATGTTGAAGTTGTACAGGATGTTGGTGAGGCCACTTTTGGAGAATTGTGTACAGTTCTAGTTGCTCACTACAGGAAAGATATAATTAAATTGGAAATGGCTCGGAAAAGATTTACAAGGATGTTTCCAGGACTGGAGGCTTTGAGTTAAAAGGCTGCGATTGTTTTCACTGGAACATAGGCGGTTGAAGGGTGTCCGTATAGGGGTTTTTAAATCATGAGGGGCAAAGATAAGGTGAATAGCAAAGGTCTTTTACCTAGGATAGGAGAGTTCAAAACTAGAGGGCATATTTTTAAGGTGAGAGGAGAAAGATTTAAGAAGGGACCTAAAGGCAACCTTTTCACACAGAGGGTTGTTCATATGTGGAATTAGCTGCCAGACGAAGTGGTAGGTGCAGGTATATTACAACATTTAAGACATTTGGACTGGTACATGAATAGGAGAGTTTTAGTGAGATATGGGCCAAATGCAGGCAAGTGGAACTAGTTTTAGTTTGGAAAACTTGGTCAGCATGGACAAATTGGACTGAAGGGTCTGTTTCCATGCTGAATGACTCTATGACACTAACTTAATTACTGATCTAAGGATACTGTAGACAAATCAGCACTGAGCCGTCAATTAAGGAAGGACCAATGCTAAACCCTAGACAACCACAGAATTTTGATTGAAAGCATCAGAAACCGATTCTGACTGGGTTTTGGCATGGGAGTGATTTTTGAAGGCTTCTGAAAACTGCTATTGTGTTTTGTTCTCTCTCTTGTTTTTTTATCCAGTTATCGAATTGTTGAATGTTCTAGGAAAAGCATTCCAGTCTGTAAGAAATAAGTAAATATTTCTAGGAATCTGCTGAAACTGTTTGCATTAACCAGCGACTTCAGAATTCAAACAAGATGTACAATTCTACCTGCCTGTGAACAAACCATTTTCTAAGGACTTCATGAAGGCCTGGTATCCATCATTGGAAACTGTTTACTGAACTGGCAGAGTATTTTCTTTGTAATTTATCCCTTAACTGTACCTGCCTGTCTGTGTGAGAGCAGGGATTATGATCAATTGATTGCTTATCTGTGTTTGGTACAGTTACATAAACAAAAATTAACATTTTATTGTTAAAGTTATAAACTTGGTGTCCAAGGTCTATTATTCATAAAGTCTGGTTAGGAACAATGGGGCAATTTGGAGGTTTTAATTTCACGGTATTGTGAATCCAATGATAGTGAGGCTGATTTGGTTTAAGGGAAAGAAGTCCTTACCTGGTCTGGCCTACATATGACTCCAGACACACACCAATGTGGTTGACTCTTAACCTCCTTCTGAAATGGCCCTAGAAAGCCAAGCAGTTGGCATCTTGCCAGTGATGCCATCAGCAGTCAACAATGTTTGTTAGTTAAAGGAAAACCAAAATAAAATCCTTCCACACTGCTGGACAGTGGGCTGAATGGCTTTGTGTTCTGCTGTAGGGTTGTCCTAAGAATGCCTCCAGTCATTACGTGATTTACATTTTTCCCTTCTATGACACTAGTAAAAGTACATGAGACAGCACCTTCCTTTAGATATTATACAGAGAACTGAAGCAACAAAACCTGTCAGAGAGCAGGAAAAATAAATGCTACACCAGAGGTCAACAATTCTACATAAAGGATTGCGTTTCTATAAACTGTTTGCTGCCTGTGTTTCTTTTCTCTTCATGAGTATGGCATTTCTTCAGAAGCTGGAAGGTCTAAGGGGATTCCTCTAAGCACTCAAGACACACCATTACACTGCATATGGTACACCACATCTCATCTGAGTTTACATTTGAATCATTTACATGGTTGGAAAATGGGGCAGGCTGCAATACAGACCCATTATTCTGCTTTTGATATCCCAACACATGCTGTGGTGGGGATGCAATGCAAAACACAAGCTGCAATATCTCCTCAAAGGCAGAGCCTTTTAAATTAGTTATTTATTAAATTTCCTACATTTAAAATATAAAATATAAAATAAAATATAAAAATATAAAATAAAACATTTAAAATATGATAAAATATATACGCATCTATGTACATTTATCATATCCTCAAAAATCAAATCCGTATTTTCTGTGGTACATATGTGTGACTTATTCAGGGTGCCCAAAGACACACTACGGAACCTCACAGTTTTCTTGTAATTGTCTGCCTTCCAGCCAGGGGTCTGCTACTTCTTGATTACTCACCAAGATGTTCAGTCACATAACAAAGAAAATTCTAAATTAGAAGGTTGGTGTATATAGTTCCAGAGAAAAAGGGATACCTTTAGTTTTTCCAAATCTGTACTTCTGTGAAGTGAGTTGATAATTTGTACACTATACATTTGAGTGATCTATTTCCTAACTTTCATTTTATAACTAAAACCAATCTTTGACATTTCCAATTAGTTCTCCTTGATTGCTCATTTCATAAATTTTAAAAGGCAGAAATCTTAATGTTAATGATTTAAATTTACTGAGTAATTGGACAATATCACACATTATTGGAACATCAGCAGAAACTGGTTCCATGGCATTCCTGCACTTCACATTTCTTCAGTACTGCATCTATACAGATACTTGTGTGTGTTTTGGTGCAGTCATGCTCCTGTTTTTTTTAAAACATTAGAATGAGTTGTCAACATGAAGGAGGATAAGCAACAACACAAGATAAAACTTGCTACAAATATGGTAGGGTTGAATGCACCTAGCTTTCAATAACAATTTTTAAAAAAAATTGCTTGTGGAGTGAGGATGTCCCTGGTTGGGGCAGCATTTGTTGCCCACCCCTAATTGCTCTTGAGAAGGTGGTGAGTTGTCTTCTTAAACCACTTCACCGCTTACAGAGTAAGGACATCCACAGCACAGGAAGGGTGGGAGTTCTAGGACGTTTATCCAGTAATGGTGAAGGAATGGCTGATACATTTCCAAGTCAGGATGATGTGTGGTTGGAGGGAAACTTGCAGTGGAGGCATTTCCATGCTTTTCGTCCTTATCAGTTGTAGAAATTGCCAGTTTAGAAAATACTATCGAAAGAGCCTTGCTGAGTCACTGTAGTGCATCTTGTAGATGGTACACACTGCTGCTACTGTGTAGGTGCTGGCAGAGTGAATATTGGAAAAGGTGGATAAGGTGTCAAACAAACTGTCTGCTTTGTCCTGGATGGTTTCAAGCTGCTTGAGTGCTGTTGAAGCTGTGATTATCCAGGCAAGCAGAGTATTCTGTAACACTCCTGACTTGTGTCTTGTAGATGGTGGACAGGCTTTGGGGAGAAGATTTGTCGTGGTGGTAGTGTCCCTACCCTGGACCTGGAGGCCTGAGTTCAAATCCCACCTCTCCAGAGGTAATAATATCTCTGAACTGGTTTATTAGAAAAATAGAAACAGAAATGCAACAGAACAAGTACGTCAACTTTAAAATAAGGCACAGGTACAGGAAGATAAAGAGTAGTACTGCTAAAAATAATGTAAAGTGTAATCAAACTATGGGAAGAAAACTCCTAAAAATAGATTCCGGTGTGAACAGGATCTGACTTAAGCATTTGAACTACAGAAAGTTACAAACAAATCACAAAATTTAGGGCTGAATGGTGACTTTCAGTGCTATATTGCTCTATAACAAGCCTCTCTGATATGAAACTGATTACATGCTATAAATGTTGAACACATTCCCTATAACACTTGCCTTGTCATACTTTATTAATAACACCTCCAGCACTTTATTATCAAACATTCCCAATGTTATTAAAAAGCCGGTTTACTAACGTGCCATGAGCAACACCTTAGAATATTGTTTATTAGACCTGTGGGAGATTAGGAAAAAAAAGTCAAAACATTGCTTGGAAAAATAATTAGACATAGTTGTTTAACCGTCAAAGGATTAAAACAAGGTTTGCTCAGCTGGCAGTGAGGTAACTTTAATCACAAAACAAAATCACACTCCTGAAAATATAGAAATAAAAATAGCAAGGTGCCAGAGGAATAAACTAGATCAGGACTACAATGGAAGAAACTTAATTAGAAGCACAGAATCAAAAAGCACTCAACTTAAAGAGTTCAGGTTCTGATTCACCATCAGCACTCACTTGGGTCGAAAGCAAAAACACACATTCATTTACAATCTTAGCAATATTACAACAAAAAGGCACTAAACCTTTTACAGAATCATCCATCTCTTTGCAGAGCTGGTACAAATCGCTACCCCTTCCTGATAGCCTCTCCCCTGCAAATAAAAACAGAGAAAAAAAACTACTTTTAAAGCCTCAAATGTCTCAATATTTTAATTCTTTAATTCAATTGAAAGAACAAAAAGAATCAAATTCATTCACTGCACAATTTGAATTATTTCACATCAATGATAGAAAATAGAAGCTGTGAATATTACCAGAACAAATGATAACTGTAATGGAACAGAGAGAAGATGTTTTACCAGAAACAGCTCTCCCGTCAACATGGAACTTTCCATTTTTTTTAAACTCTACTTCTGTGCAAGTACAATGATCACTCTTTAACTTTAAATATTCAATCAAAAGCAGTAGAGTGAGGTACAGAAGTGTCCGTCCCTGATGGAGATGTGTGTGTCCAAGAATTAGACTGATCCTAAAGAGTAGTCCATGGTAAGTCTGATGGTGGGATGAAACTTGTTGATATTGCTACGTAGTTGTTTCAGTGATTCCTCACTGTGAGTCCAAAGGTGGAAAACGTCATCAATGTATCGGGAGCATGACATTGGTTGGAGGTTCTGTGCAGCAAAGAAATCTTGTTCAAACCTGTGCATGAAGATCTTGGCATATTGGGAAGCAAATCTGGTCCCCATGGCTAGTAGGAACTGCAGATGCTGGTGAATCCGAGACAACAAGGTGCAGGGCTGGATGAACACAGCAGGTCAAGCAGCATCATAGGAGCAAGAGAGGCTGACGTTTCGGGCCTAGACCCTTCATCAGAAAAGGGGGAGGGGAAGGGGGTTCCGAAATAAATAGGGAGAGAGTGGGAGGCGGATAGAAGATGGATAGAGGAGAGGATAGGTGGAGAGGAAACAAACAGGTCGAAGAGGCGGGGATGGAGCCAGTAAAGGTGAGTGTAGGTGGGGAGTTAGGAAGGGGATAGGTCAGTCCAGGGAGGACGGACAGGTCAAGGGGGCGGGATGAGGTTAGTCGGTAGGAGATGGAGGTGCGGCTTGAGGTGGGAGGAGGGGATAGGTGGGAGGAAGAACAGGTTAGGGAGGCAGGGACGAGCTGGACTGGTTTTGGGATGCGGTAGGGGGAGGGGCCGTCCTCCCTGGACTGACCTATCCCCTCCCTAACTCCCCACCTACACTCACCTTTACTGGCCCCATCCCCACCTCTTCGACCTGTTTGTTTCCTCTCCACCTATCCTCTCCTCTATCCATCTTCTATCCGCCTCCCACTCTCTCCCTATTTATTTCGGAACCTCCTTCCCCTCCCCCTTTTCTGATGAAGGGTCTAGGCCCGAAACGTCAGCCTCTCTGCTCCTATGATGCTGCTTGACCTGCTGTGTTCATCCAGCCCTGCACCTTGTTGTCTTGGTCCCCATGGCTAATCCTTGTGTCTGGATGAAGAATTGGTTGTCGAAGTGAAGACATTGTGGTCGAGGATGAAGCAGATGAGTTGTAGGATGGCGTCTGGAGATTAGCAGTTGGTGGTATTGAGTAGTGAGGCTGTTGCGGTGATGCCATCGTCGTGGGGGAAGCTGGTGTAGAGTGTTGAAACACCCATTGTGACGAGGAATGTTCCTCGTTTGACTGATCCATGGGTGCTGAGTTTCTTTAAGAAATCTGTAGTGTCGCAACAGAAGCTGGGGGTTCCTTGTACAATGGGTTATAAAATACTCTCGACATAGCCAGAGAGGTTCTCACACAGGGTCCCATTGCCTAATATGATGGGACGTCCAGGTGCGTCGACTTTGTGTATCTTTGGAAGGCAGTAGAAGTCTCCTGGGGGATGTACGGGGATGAGAGCGCGTAGGGAAATTCCGAAGGACTGGATCAAAAGTCTTGACCAGTCTGTTCAGTTGACAGGTGTGTTCTTTGGTCGGATCAGCAGGTAGTTGTCTGTAGTGTTCCTGGTTGTTCAGCTTTTGAAGCAGCCATGCAGTAGTCAGTTCTATTCTGTATGACGATAGTTCCTCCTTTGTCTGCTGGTTTAATGACAATATTGCGATTGGCCTTGAGAACACAGATGGCGTAGCGCTGTATCTGGGTACTACCTTATGCTTGCTTGAGGTGCTACCTTATGATTGCGGCTGATGAATCACAGATCGTAGAATTATCATCAAGAATCCCTACAGTGTGGAAACAGGCCCTTCGGCCCAACAAGTCCACACCGACCCTCAGAGCATCCCACCAAGACCCATCCCCCTACACACCCCCCTAAACTACAGATCCCTGAACACTACGGGCAATTTAGCATGGCTAATCCACCTAACCTGCACATCTTTGGACTGTGGGCGGAAACCGGAGCACCCGGAGGAAACCCACACAGACACGATGAGAACGTGCAAACTCCACACAGACAGTTGCCCGAGGGTAGAATTGAACCCAGCTCCCTGGCGCTGTGAGGCAGCAGTGCTAACCACTGTGCCACCATGCTGCCCCAAGGGGGAATCTGGTGTTCACGTATTCTCTGATGGCTTGAGCATACCTGTCAAGCCCCAACTCCTTCTTTCCCCACTCCCCCGTGGATCTCTCTGTCAACTGATCTGGTTTGTTGGTTGGCTTATTGGGCTCACTGCTGACATCTTGGAAGAATTCCCCAGAGTCTCATTCATCTAATGAATGCCTCTGTGTCTGCTGCGAGACCAATGGGGTCCATTTTGGTGGTGGGGCAGAAATTGAGTCCTCGGCTGAGAACTTCGATCTTATCCAGTTGAAGGGTGTGGTCAGACAAGCTGACGATGGATTTTCCCGTGGTGATACTGCTTTCAACTGTGGTACTTGTGGAGACTTCGTTATTGCTGGTGGTGATGCCAAGTTTCTCCCGTTTCTTGTTCTTGGTGTGCGTGTAGGTGGTGTAGTTCCGTTGCCTCATCTGCTTGGCAGTGTCTCGTAACTGTACTGCTGTATCTTGAACGCAAGCTGAGAATGTGGCTTCTATCTCGATTTCAAGGTTACAGTGCTTGCTGTAGAGTTGGTGTACGAGATGATTGAGGAGTTTGCAAAAGGTTATTGGAATCTTCTCCTTGTCAAACTTGGTTGATCACCACAAGGAACAGACAGAGTCAATCTTGTAGTCACAAAAAGGCTGATTTGGGAGAGAAAAGAGTTGCCTATGGACATTTCGCGTGTTTAAATTTTAACAACAATCTAATCCATGTTTCCGAATTCAAGCTTGTAGGTTGTTAATCCAGTACCACAGCTGCAACAGTATCTGTTTATCCGTAAGTATGTAAGAAATAGGAGCAGTAGGTCATTCAGCCCCTCAAGTCTGCCCTGGGATTCTATAAGATCATGGCTGAGCTGTCCCAGGCCTCAACTCCTCTTTTCTGCCAGGTTCTCAGAGCGCTCAAGTCCAAAAGAGGCCCAATGGAGGCCTAAGCATCGTGGAAATTAGTAAAGCTGCTGCATTGCAGTCCAAACTTAAAAACAAAACAAATTTGACTGTGTTGTAAACTCTAATACAGAAAGTTTACTCACCATCTAAGGATTTTATTTTCGGAAAGATTTCCAACATTGTATTGTGATACGCAGTGTTCATACAAACTGAAAAACAAGACTTCACCATCATATCTTACTGTAAAAACGATTGGCTTTGATGCAAAAACTTTTGCATTTGACTTGAGCATTTTACAGTGCCAACAAGGTGTTACCATGGAAGCAGAAATTATTCTACCTATAAAAACGTTTTAACTTCGCATATAAAATATATGCTGCATTACATTTGTACAGGCACCATTACACAGTGACTAAGTAGCTTTAAATGAGACACCCTTCCTTTAACCTTGCATCATTACTTGCAGCCAAGGTACCATAAATAATCGAAGGCTGAAGATTTATCTCCTGCCTCTCGACTGATGCAATTCTGCCACTTACACAGACGAAGAAACATATCAGGAAAGGAATTATCCAGATTTGTGTCCAATTATTTTATTGCTTTCAAAGATTAAAAGACTTTCATTTATCTTCAGTCTTCATGACCTCAGGATGTCAGAGTGTTCTACAGTTACTGAGGTACTTTCTGTTTTGAACTATTGTTACTGTGCAATGTTTGAAACTGTGGCAATCAATTAATGCACAGCAAGATCCCACAAATGCTAATGTGGTAATGACTAGTTAGTCTGTCTTAACGATGTTAGTTGAGGATAAATATAGGCTGCGATAACGTCCCTGCTCCTATTTAAGATAGTAGCGCCACAAGACCATTAATATGCACCCAATAAAGTAGGTAGGGCCTCGATTGAATATCACATCTGAAAGACTGAACCTCTAACAATGCAGCACTCCCTAAGCAATGCACTTGTTGGCCCAGGTTTTTGCCTGGAAAATCTATGATCTTCTGATTCAGAGGTAAAATTGACAGAAACTGAACTGTTATTCAGCGTAGAACAAGTTACCTGGATTACTAAAGTTGCAGACAGTGTCTTTCAATCGAATCGTCTCCAGATTCTTCAGCTCGGAGAGGGAAAGAAGACTATCGACACTACAAGACAGGTATTTAAAAGCAAGATTTTGCTTAACGTTGCAATACCTAAATGCAGCAACATTTGCTGAATATGGGAGTGTATAGAACACAATATAAACACTACATAAAAGGCAAAAAAAATCACACAATTACCTGCCAATTAGGTTTCCTGATAAATTGAGGTTTTGTAGGTTTTCACAGGAGCGTAGGGGATCTACGATAGCAAAATAAAGTGTCTTTTTAAACATCTCTCAAAAGTAGAGGTTAAAGAATGCCGATTTTTCACAGTGACTGATACTGCTCTTTCCAAACTGAAGGTGGCACCCATCACTACACACCCTGGTGGGGACCAGGGCATATGTGAGTTTGGGTATGTGAGTGAGTGCGAGAGAGAGGGGTGTGGGGTTGGGGGGGCGGGTGGGAAAGGCAGCCTGGAAAGTGTGGGAGGGGACAAAGATTAGTTGGGAGTGATTCAGAACACTTCAAAGTTGCGCACCTTTGTTACCAAACCCTGGATGGGAGCAGATCAGAACTCTCATGCATACGCTAGTCATGAAAACCTTTCTGGATTTATGTTCAGAGTAAATGACACTTATATGAGCAATTTATTTCTAATCTTAGGATTCCTTGTAGAATGATTACATTCCCAGCTCCAGAACCTTCAAACAGAGAGGGATTTTAATACAATCGGTGATCTGAAAATCCATAGCAGACCTTTCTTCAAGTATGAGGTATTAAATCTATTCATACCATTCAGGAGCAGAGTGCTCTATTTTAAAGAAAAAAGTCTATTACAGATGATCAATAGAGTGAACTGTGTAGATGCCCACAAAAAAAGACAACACTAAAATGGACCAACTGTGTTAAAGATTAAATCTTCTACAACACACAGGAGGCCATTTGGACTTTGTCGAGTCACACACGCCTTCTCTCAATCTCTTCTCAACTGGTTCCTCTACTTTGTGTGAATCAAACCTAATTTTTAATCTTGTAATACTATTTGATTCATCCATTCTGTTTCCTAAATTCTTTATCATGTAAATACACTTCAATTTATCTGACGCTTTGCCATCACCACCCATGCTTACCCCATCCAGCCCAGGAAGTTTAAGAATAACAGAGAATCTCCTTTCATCTTTGCCTCTTGGGCAAATGCTATCACGTAATGTTTGTGCTAGTTTAGCCTGTGACTAACTGACAGGAGTAGTTCCAATCTTGTCAGTACGTTCTACTACCTAACTGTAGCACACAATCTGATTATCTGCATCTTTGCAAATGCCATCCACTTTTACAGGTGATCTACCCTACTATGCAGTTTTGCAAGCGAGAGCATTATATATAGGAACAATAACCTTCAACTAATGGCAAAAAGTCACGATTGTGTACTAAAACAGTAAGTGCAGGTCTGGCAACGTCTGTGGAAGAAACACAGAGTTTATGTTTCAATTCCAACATGCCTCCTCTTTGGAGCTGGAGAAGGACTGAAGGTTCTGAAAAAACAATTCATATTGGACTCAAAACGTCAACTCTGTTTCACTCTACAGATGCTGCCAGACTTGTCATGTCTCTCCAGCACTTTCTATTTTAATTTCAATAATGAAGAGGATTGAAGGAGGCAGAGCAGTGATCTATATGGACTTCAGTAAGCCATTCAACAAGGTTCCCTATGGTAGACTGATTAGCAAGGTTAGATCGTATGCAATACAGGGAGAACTAGCCATTTGGATATAGAACTGGCTTGAAGGTAGAAGACAGAGGGTGGTGGTGGAGGATTGCTTTTCAGACTGGAGGCCTGTGACCAGCGACCAGCGGTGTGCCACAAGGATCGGTGCTGGGTCCACTGCTTTTCATCATTTATGTAAATGATTTGGATGTGAGCATAGGAGGCATGGTTAGTAAGTTTGCAGATGACACCATTGGTGGTGTAGTGGACAGTGAAAAAGGTTACCTCAGAGTTCAACAGGACCTTGAGCAGATGGGCCAATGGGCTGAGGAGTGGCAGATGCAGTTTAATTTAGATAAATGGCATAGGTTTAAGGTGAGAGGCGAAATATTTAAAAGGGACATAAGGGGGAACTTTTTCACAAAGAGGCTGGTGCGTGTATGGAATGAGCTGCTAGAGGAAGTGGTGGAGGCTGGTACAATTACATCATTTAAAAGGCATTTGAATTGGTATATGAATAGAAAGAGTTCAGAAGGATATGGCAAATGGGACTAGATTAATTTAGGATATCTGGTCAGCATGGAAGAGTTGGACTGAAGGGTCTGTTTCCAAGTTGTACAGCTCTATGACTCTATATTTCCATATCCACACTATTTTGCCTTTCTAGTCATCACGTTTGCGCGAAAATGTCTTGACATTAAAACTGCATGTTTCCCAGAAACTTACGCATCTCTATGACCAGGGCATCTGACATCGTAGTTATTCTTGAAAGTAGTACAATGCATCTTTCACATCAACCCAATCAGACAATGGGTGTAACATCTCATCATACAGACAGCATAGAGTCATAGAGCTGTACAGCATGGAAACAGACCCTTCGATCCGACTTGCCTATGCCAACCAGATATCCTAAATTAATCTAGTCCTATTTGCATCTTGAACTGGAGCATTACATCAGTAGTGCACTGGAGTTTCAAATGAACTCTCCCGGGGGCTCCTGCCACAATGCATAGTAAACGATTAAATGCTATTCAATAACTGCCACAACCTCTGCTAAGATACAAACTCCAAATAAAATCATAGAATCCCTACAGTGCAGAAGCGGGCTATTTGGCCCATCAAGCCCACGTGTACCTTGCGAAAAACATTCCATCCATACCCACCATACCCCCACCCTATCCCTGCATTTCCCATGGCTAATGCAGCTAGCCTGCAAATCCCTGGACACTATGGGCAATTTACCATAGCCAATCCACCTAATCTGCACATCTTTGGACTGTGGGAGGAAACCAGAGCACCTGGAGGAAATCCACGCAGATACAGGGAGAATGTGGAATCCACACAGTCACTCAAGGGTGAAATTGAACCCTGGTCCCTAGTGCTGTGAGGCAGCAGTGCTAACCACTCAGCCACCATGCTGCCCCCAATGAAGGGACCATTATTTTCCTGGCATCAGATTTCAATTTAATGCAATTAATTTTAATTTGAACTAGACTCAAATGTGTCAGCATAGGCATTAACTTGCACAAGACCCTGGGGGAGCCTGGCCGGGCCCAATCAAATATTGATTGGTAGGTTTCATTATTTTAACTTGGACTATAAATCCTGGCAATAATGTTTATAAGCTTGTTCACCCTCGTCAGCTGCAGCAGACATAAAACCCTTTCTTTTGCACATTCATTGTAACGTGTTGCATTGTCAAATTTATTTTAAAAAAGAAAAAACACACTACAAATGATGTGTTTTCACACTCAGTGAGAGGACAAACATCCCCGGCCTACACCAGACAGCTCCATTTATGTTTCAAATTGATGGACCACCTCCACGATGCTGCTTTTACTGCCATGTTATTCAAGTCATGCTTGCTACTGTTGGTGTGACAAAATGTCTGCTGCTTGCTCGGTAGGTTTACCAGCCAGATTCCAATGTAGCAGGACTGACTTATGAGGAGAGACTGAATAAGGTAGGACTATATTCACTGGAGTTTAGAAGAATGAGACAAGATCTCATAGATACCTAGAATAACAGGACTAGACAGGGTAAAAACAGGGAGGATCCCACAAAGCGTTCTTGGGTTGCTTGCTGATAGAGCCCTGAAGGTGGCAGGACAGGTTAACAGGGTTCTTAAGAGAGCACACACAGCACATTTGCCTTTATCAGTTGAGGCCAAGATTATAAGAGCAAAGAATTACGCTGGAGCTGTACAAAACGTTGATTAGGCAACAGCTGGCATACTGTGTGCATTTCTGTTCACCACACTATAGGAAGGATGTGATTGCACTGGGTAGGTGTGGAGGAGGGGTACTTTGGAGATTCTCCAGCATGTTACCTGGTATGGAACATTTTAGCTATGATGAGAGGCTGGATAAGCTGAGATAGAACATAGAACAGTAGAGCACAGTACAGGCCCTTCGGCCCACAATGTTGTGCTGAACTTTTACCCTAATCCTAAGGTCTGTCTAACCTCCACCCCTACCTTTTACTATCATCCATATGCCTATCTAATAGCTGCGTAAATGCCCCTAATGAGGCTGACTCCACTACTCTCTCCGGCAATGCATTCCACGCCCCTACCACTCTCTGAGTAAAGAACATACCTCTGACGTCTCCCCTATATCTACCTCCACTCACTTGAAAACTATACCCTCTAGTAATAGCTACCTCCACCCTAGGAAAAAGTCTCTGGCTGTCTACTCTACCTATACCTCTGATTGTTTTCTTCAGAGCAATGAAGGTTAAGGGGGAACTGATAAAGGTGTATAAGATTATGAGGGGCACGGGCAGGGTGAGTAGAAAGCAGCTGTTCCCTTAGTTGAAGGGTCAGTACTAACAGGGCACGCTTTTACAGTGCAAAGCAGGAGGTTTAGAGGAAAGTTTTCCACTGTCTGGGAGTGTAGTTGAGGCAGTCAACCTCACATTCTTTAAAAAGTACCTGGATAGGTACTTAAAAAGTACCTGTCCTGTATCATTCTATGAGTTCAGAACCAGGCATCGCAGTCTAATGATATGGAGTAGGGCATTTAAGACAAAGATGATGAGAAATTTCTTCATGTAGAAATGGTGAACTTGTGGAATTCTCTGCCACAGAAAGCTGTTGAGGCCAAAACGTTGAATGTTTTCAAGGAGTTAGATAACTTAGGGATAAAAGGATCAAAGGTTATGGGGAGAAAGCGGGAACAGGTGACTGAGTTGGATCATCAGCCATGATCATACTGAATGGCAGAGCAGGCTCAAAGAGCCAAATGGCCCACTCCTGTAACTTTTTCTATATTTCTATGCTTAAAAGGTATCCTCCTGCAAAGAAAGAAAACCCCTCTGCAAGAGGAATGTACATTCTTCTCAGGCGAACATTAAAATCCAGGCAAAATCTGTCCCTCAATCAACAGTAGTACTCATTGCACCACTGTTGTCTTTGGGAGCCCTCTGTGCATAAATTGGCTGATGTGTTTCCTAAATTATACTTTGGAGTTACTTCATTGGCAATGACATGCGTTAGAATGTACTCATGCTACGTGAGGCACAATATGAATGCAGGATCTACTAGCCTTCCAGGTACGGCAGTGTTTATAACTCCTTGATCTCTTAGTTGTTAGTCAAGGATACCCTCTTTCTGTTACAGAAACTGTGGGTGCAGAAGCCTTCAAATCACCACAAAACTATCATGCCAAAACCATTTGGACTTTTGTCAGTCATGACTCACAGGGTTGGTCTTTGCTACACATTATTTTCTTTCCATTTTGAATTGTTTCCTATTTGGACAAGCTGCTATGTAAATGTAGGTTGTTTCTTCCTCCTGTATCATATGCGAGCACCAGATAGGCAAAAGCAAGTATCAGGTTTCTTCTGAGTAGGAGCCCCCAGGCAAACCAAAGTGACTCAGTGTTCTGCTGAAGTCTTTATTCTGTATAAGTACATGTCTAATTAGGGTTCTTGTAAATCCCGCACCAACATGCAGTGCATTCAGCTAATGAGGAATGAGGTGCTGAAACCAGATTTTAGTAATTTAGAAACAATTCATTCATTTCTCTGATCACTGTTCAACTATGAAGACAAGACACAATCTGAAAAAACAAATCTCAATGAAAAGCCATCATATAGGCACACAATAACTGCAGGTTAGATTCTATATGGAAATACTTCCCTGCCACAATTTAGCATATGCTATATTCAACATTTTATTTGGTGTCATTAAGACTAGAATCATCTAGAACACAAGCTTTGGGGCTGCACTGAAGGCTCTGCAAACATACACACTGCATAATGTTTGTAGTAGTCCAGGAACATCTGAATTTTGATCCCTTATGTTTATACGGTCAATATCAGTCAGTATAGTACAGGGGCACTAAAATTAGTAGGAGGAGAAAGAAATAAAACAAAATTGGATAAGTCTTTCAATGAGCTAGTACAGGCACAGTAGGTTGAATGGACTCCCTCCATTTTGTATTATTCTACAAACATAGACTGGTACCTACCCTACAAAGTTGGCCTGTGAAATTGGTGAGCTCTCTGAAATAACCTGGAAACATCACACAAATATTATAGAATCATAGGACTGAGTAGCAGAAGTAAGCCATTCTGCCTTTCAAGCCTGCTCCACCATTCATGGTTGATCTTCATGTGGCCTCAGCTCCATAATTTGCCTATCTGGTGCTTGCATATGATACAGCAGGAACAAACAACCTGCATTTACATAGCAGCTTGTCCAAGTAGGAAACAATTCAAAATGGAAAGAAAATAACGTGTAGGAAAGACCAACCCTGACAGTCATGACTGACAATGAATTTCCATTAATAACAATACTCAATGGAAGTGAAGCAAGCAAATCCGATGTTGGAATTCACTAAAAGGTCAAGGCAGAGTGAATCAGTGAAGGAGCCTATGACGCTTTATAAATCATTAATTGCCTTTACAATACTTTAGTCGGGGTGGGAGCGAGTAGCTTAGTTCAGTTGACTGGATGACTGATTTGGGATGCAGAGTGACACCAACAGCATGGGTTCAATTGTGGCACTGGCTGTGGTGGCTGTGAAGGACTCTCCTTCCCAAACTCTTCCATTGCCCGAGGTATGGTAACCCTCAGGTTAAACCACCACCAGTCATCTCTCTGACAACTTTACCTCTACAATATGACACACAGTTCTGGCCATTCCAGTACTGCTGCTGTGAAATACTGAAAAGTGTAAACAGGTGAAGGCCTGTTAGAGCAGGAACATGACTGTTGTAACTTGGTCAGGGTTTCATGGCATTCATTAACATCTCAGATTCCAGAAACCATCCAGATATTGTTGATGATAACAAGCTATTCCACCTCTTTCAGCACTGTAGAAACAGAGGTCATGGCCTGTGATTGAAGACGGAAAATTCAAGACTAATCTGTGGAAACATTACTTCAATGAGAGAGTAATCAACCCTGAGGGAGATTATGGAAGAGATGATCTTGAAAGCTACCATGTGGTACCTGTCACCATGAATTTCAAGGAACGGATAATTTTAGATCTCATGCTTCCCAAAGTCCTCCCTCATTGCATGGGAGTATAGAACAGGGCAGCACAGGAACAGACCCTTCAGCTCACCTTGTCTGCGTCAACCATCGTGCCATTCTAAACTAATCCCATCTGCCTGCACATGGTCATTATTGTTCCATTCCCTGTCTGTCCATGTGTCTTTCCAAATGCCTCTTAAAGTTGTCCATTTAGTCCACTGTGTCTATACTAACTCATTTGAAACCTATCCAATTTTGTTTCTTTCTCAGTTCAGGCACTAATTATCATGTTGCTTTGTGTTGTATTGACTGACTAACTGTCTCAATATTTTCCTCTGCTCAAGTCTGTGTCTATTCATAGATACCAAGTGTTATATGTACTCAACAAATCCAATTTCATTGCATCATGCAACTAAGAAACAAGCTAGATTTAGGCTTTTCCTATGTTCCTATCCTATTGGTCTAATCATTACTCTTTATATCTACTAAGGCAGCAACCACTGTCACCAATCCATCTCACGTCTGTGTTTGAGGTTACATCAATTGGTATGGTGTCAGGTTTGCCATCTGTTACAATCACCAGCATTGTCCTAATCTATATCAAGGTCAACTGTCACAATGTCTTTAAAACAGATGTCTCAATATTGAACCCCTGCTGCTTCTTCAATATTTGAAATAGCTGTAGTTTCTAAAAAAAAAAATCACTCAATTAGAGATACGCACTGACAGTCTTCATTAACGTTCGGATTTCTGAATCACATCATTCCATATTCCACTCTATACTTTTGAATATCAAGGTCGCATTTTATGACTTGCCCTCCAGAGGCTTTCTTCCTCCTCCCCCATCCAATCACATCATTTCTTCTATTTCAGCTGTTCTTTCCGACAACATGAGCAGTATTCTTCTCCCCTCAAGAAGACTACAAGCCATCGTCGCTCATGTGATACACAGGTCAGATAATTAATAATTGCACATGATTCAGCGTTAAATAAACCTGTTGAAAAACATGCTTGCTGAGCATAGCATTCTGAAAATGACAGTCAAGTACTTCAAGAGGTAATAGCTCCAAAAGATAGCCAGGTTCCACAACTTATTAGAGAACGGTAGGTTGAAAAGTATTTTTACAGCTCACTCAGACTCACAAAGGAACTCACCTTCCTTGACCTTTATCTGACCCCTATATTGACATTTTGATGGCCTTAATTTCCTGTTACCCATTGCATAACATTTTATTAATCACACTGTGGAAGATGTTTGTGCTGGGACAGTTTTGAGCAAAAATGGTATCTTCTTGTCTCGAGAGGAATTTAAAGCATATGGGTATTCAACAAAATGGAGGTCAAAGATCACCTGTGCTATGGCCTACTCCTGCCCCTATTTGGCTTGGGAAGAAAAATTATGGTGACACTCCACTGCTGTACAGAGGGAGAGCTACACTGTTCATTTCTGGTAAGACATTACCCCGAAGCTTGCACAGATGAATGCAAATAATCCCACGGCACTATTTCAAAGAACAGTGGCGTGTTATTCCCAGTATCTGGCCAATATCTATTCCTCTATTGATATCACAAAAATAGATTATCAGCTCATTATTGGAAATTGCTGACTGAAAATTGGCTGTCGCCTTTCTTATATTGCAATAGCAATTACGCTTCAAAAGTACTTCATTGGCTGTGAAAGTTTCATATGACTGCAGGACAGGTAAACTGCTAAATAAATCTTACAAACAAGTCTGGCTAGCATCCCTTTGTCATCCTTCCCATTGGTGTTCAGGATTGTTCAGTGGCTACAGAGTTGCACAAATCATTAGGACATGCAAGGAGTTTGTCTTTTTGAGACAGAACTAAATAGACACACAGTCCTTGATTGTCAAGGGACCCAAAAGTACTCGGATGGAAAGTGAGGTTGAGGTTACAATCAGATCATCCATTAACCATCGGATTGATGCAGGCACAGGTTTGAGAAGCTGAATGACCTATTTCTAATGCATATGGTTGTGTTGCCTCTGTCTACAATTGTGGCAATCACTGAACAGATGTAACTTCCTGGTCCATGTAAAGCTTGTTACATTGTTGTTTGTGGATCAAGACAGCCAGCTTACCAACATTTGAGATCCGATTGGCTGACAGGTTGAGCACTGTCAGAATTTTCAGTGATGAGAGGGGAGAGAGGTTTGAGATGTCATTTCCTGACAAGTCCAGTCTTTCTACATTTATACAGTCTCCAATACACCCAAGATTGCTGATCCCTGCAGTGAACAAGACCAGAAATAATCATTCTTTTTTGCATTTATTCTTGGCAAATCTTTAAGTTGAAGAATATTCTTCCATTTTAACTAATTTTGTTTTTGCTTTTACTTTGTAAACTGTAGGATGGTCAATTGTTAGAAGTCATTTGGCAACAAAGTCCAGTCCTGTGCTAACGAAAGCGGTCAAAAAAGTTTAGTTTTATTTTATTCAGTATTGATTGCTTGTTTATAATAAAGAGCGGTTGAAAAGTGGGCCAGAGGAAATTAATTACATTGCACTTGACAGAGGTGGAACTGTGTTGAGGTTGCTGAATGACACAAGTTACTAATTTGTGGACTCAGGAGCACAGATGTACGACAAGCACTGATATGAGGAGCTAAGTGGCCACCTTCTGTGCTGAAATTACTACACTTCTCCCAGGAGACCTCAAAAGACAGTGGATCATCCGCAACACTTCAGAGCAACTGACTTTAAAGCACAGTGTGATTAGTTATACTTTCCCGCCAGGGAAATTTTATTTCCTTAATTCTTTGATGGGCTGTGGTTGTCCATTTGTCACCCATTTCTAATTACTTTTGAATTGAGCAGCTTGTTAGGCCATTGTGGAGGACAGTCAAGAGTCAACCACATTGCTGTCGTGTAGGCCAGAGTGGGTAAGGACAGTAGATTTCTTTCCCTAAAGGTCTTCAGTGGATTTGAAGACAATCAATTATTTTTATTCACCATTACTGATAACAGCTTTCAATTCCACCAATTAGTTCAATTATACCTCTCTGATGAGATTTGAACCCACGTGCACCACCCTTCCCAAGCATTAGCCTCAGCCTCTGGATAACCAGTCCAATAACATTACCACAGCTCTACTGTCTCCTCTGTTACACAACATACACAGCCAAGAAAAGAAAAGTAGGGGGAGGAGAGTGTAAAGGAGACCAGCGAAAGGGAGGAGAAAGTCAGAAGTCACACGACACCAGGTTATAGTCCAACAGGTTTATTTGAAATCACAAGCTTTCGGAATGCTGCCGAAATCATTAGCTGAAGTAAGGAGATGACACACAGGCGCAGAATTTATAACCAGAGATCAAAAAATCATACTAATGGTGTGAGTGGAGTGTCTCAAGATCTTGACACTTGCCAAGCTGTCAACTGGCTGAATAATAGGCCTCTGCAGGTGATCAAGAGTGTCAGGCAGTGAGAGTAAAGTGTTAACTGCTGAATGACAATTGAAGGGATGACCTATAGTCCAACCAATTAAGGCAAAGAGATAATTTCAAATAATTTTAGAAAAAGGGAGAGAGGGGAAGAAAAGCTGTGCTTTTCAAAAATAAGTGTATGAATGTAGAGAATATGGCAAGGAGGCAAGAGGCTGAGAGGGCAATTCCTGTTCCCGCATTGAAATGCTGCAAAGGAGAATTGAGCAGTTAATTAATATTACTTTAGCACAACATAGTATTTTAGTTATAGGTTTATATAAATTTAAATATTCACTATATTACCATTGATAATTTAGCTTATCCTCAGATTTACTCAGGCACATATTAAATCAGCAGCAAGAGAATATAGTAATGTCAGTTTTCTACTAAACTTAGATAAAGACCATATTTCCATGATTAACAACCTCATAATTACAGTGCTAATTAGAGACTTTTAGCTGAGGAGTTAAACCGAAGCCACATCTGCCAATTAGAAAGGATCATGTGGTACAATGCAAACTAAAGGGAAGGCTTTATGGTGTCCTGAACAAGATTTAGCCTCTACCATCATCTGCAAAGACACAAGTTATCTAGATGTTTATATCTGTTGGTTTTGGCTTTTTACTGGATGTAGATTTAGTTACTATTTTGTATACAAAACACTGTTGCACTTCAAAGTAGTCTATTGAACATAGAACATAGAACATAGAACATTACAGCGCAGTACAGGCCCTTCGGCCCTCGATGTTGCGCCGACCTGTGAAACCAATCTGAAGCCCATCTAACCTAAACTATTCCATTATCATCCATATGTTTATCCAATGACCATTTAAATGCCCTTAAAGTGGGCGAGTCTACGATTTTTGCAGGCAGGGCATTCCACACCCTTACTACTCTGAGTAAAGAACCTACCTCTGACATCTGTCTTATATCTATCACCCCTCAATTTAAAGCTATGTCCCCTCGTGCTAGCCATCACCATCCCAGGAAAAAGGCTCCCACTGTCCACCCTATCTAATCCTCTGATCATCTTGTATGTCTCTATCAAGTCACCTCTTAACCTTCTTCTCTCTAATGAAAACAGCCTCAAAACCCTCAGCCTTTCCTCATAAGACCTTCCCTCCATACCAAGCAACATCCTGGTAAATCTCCTCTGCACCCTTTCCAATGCTTCCACATCCTTCCTATAATGCGGTGACCAGAACTGTACGCAATACTCCAAGTGCGGCCGCACCAGAGTTTTGTACAGCTGCAACATGACCTCATGGCTCCGAAACGCAATCCCTCTACCAATAAAACCTAACATACTGTACGCCTTCTTAACAACGCTATCAACCTGGGTGGCAACTTTCAGTGATCTATGCACATGGACACCGAGATCTTTCTGCTCATCCACACTACCAAGAATCTTACCATTAGCCCAGTACTCTGTATTCCTGTTACTCCTTCCAAAGTGAATCACCTCACACTTTTCCACATTAAACTCCATTTGCCACCTCTCAGCCCAGCTCTGCAGCTTATCTATGTCCCTCTGTAACCTGCAACATCCTTCCGCACTATCCACAACTCCACCGACTTTGGTGTCATCCGCAAATTTACTAACCCATCCTTCTACGCCCTCATCCAGGTCATTTATAAAAATGACAAACAGCAGTGGCCCCAAAACAGATCCTTGAGGTACACCACTAGTAACTGAACTCCAGGATGAACATTTCCCATCAAGCACCACCCTCTGTCTTCTTACAGCTAGCCAATTTCTGATCCAAACCGCTAAATCACCCTCAATCCCATGCCTCCGTATTTTCTGCAATAGCCTACCATGGGGAACCTTATCAAACGCTTTACTGAAATTCAAATACACCACATCAACCGCTTTACCCTCATCCACCTGTTTGGTCACCTTCTCGAAGAACTCAATAAGGTTTGTGAGGCACGACCTACCCTTCACAAAACCGTGTTGACTATCCCTAATCAAATTATTCCTTTCTAGATGATTATAAATCCTATCTCTTATAATCCTTTCCAACACTTTACCCACAACCGAAGTAAGGCTCACTGGTCTATAATTACCAGGGTTGTCTCTACTCCCCTTCTTGAACAAGGGGACAACATTTGCTAGTCTCCAGTCTTCTGGCACTATTCCTGAAGACAATGACGACATAAAGATCAAAGCCAAAGGCTCTGCAATCTCCTCTCTAGCTTCCCAGAGAATCCTAGGATAAATCCCATCCGGCCCAGGGGACTTATCTATTTTCACACCTTCCAGAATTGCTAACACCTCCTCCTTATGAACCTCAATCCCATCTAGTCTAATAGACTGTATCTCAGTATTCTCCTCGACTACATTGTCTTTTTCCTGTGTGAATACTGACGAAAAATATTCATTTAGCACCTCTCCTATCTCTTCGGACTCCACGCACAACTTCCCACTACTGTCCTTGACCGGCCCCTGGTTATAAAGTTTTTTAATAAGTCACAAAAGTTCAAGGCACTCTAGTATATAACAGGAACACAGTTACAGAAATAAACAATATATTCATAGAATCCCTGCAGTGTAGAAACAGGCCCTTCGGCCCAACAAGTCCACACCAAACCTCAGAACATCCCACCCAGACCCATTCCCCTAATCTACACATCCCTGAACACTACAGGCAATTTAGTATGGCCAATCCACCCAGCCTGCACATCTTTGGACTGTTGGAGGAAACCGGAGCATGTGCAAACTCCACGCTGTCGTCCAAGGTTGGAATTGAACCCGGGTCCCTGGTGCTGTGAGGCAGCAGTGCTAACCACTGGACCACCGTGACTAGATATTAATGTTGTAATGAAAGTAACTTCACTGCATCAAATTAAACCAATGTGAATCTGATGCAAATGGATGCAACTGACACAAACTCTGTTGTCAGTTTGACAGAAATTCAGAATAATGGGTCATACTAATGTTCTAATTGCCCATCACTCACCAATATTCTTCAGCTTCAGGAAAAGAATTGACTCCAAATCAAATTGTCCAGTTCTGGATTTGAGCATCTGAACTGTGACTTTCACATTTTCATCACCTGGAAGAAAAAAGATACAGAAAAGGAACACTTGCTCAGTATTAGATCAAGAGGTAAAGGCAGTAATGTGTTAGGGTTGGGTGAGGGTGGTTTGTGTGGTAAAGTAATTGGGAGTGGAGGAGCAGGGGTCAAAATCAAGTGGGTGTGAGGAATATGAGTCTGGGTCAGGTGGATCAAAGAGGTATCAGAGTGAGGGGGATTTGGATTAGTGGGGGTAGTCAAGGTAACATAGTCAGAGGGAGGGATTTTATCAGGAGTGATGTGGCTGGTTGGAGGTCAGGATCAGATAGAAAATTGGTAACTATTAATGGGGGGAGGATGGGGCTTCATAGTTGGGATGTAGTTGAGGTTTAGGTGGTCAGAGATAGTTGGTGACTGGAAGGGTCAAGTGGCCTGATTGAGAAAGGGGTAGTTTTTCACAGTGGGGAGGGTCGAAGGATTAGGTTGCCAGAGTGGCCCGAGCAGGGAGGGTCAGTGGGGGCAGAAATGACCTGAGCGGGGAGGGTCAGGGGTCAGAGTGATCTGAGCGGGGAGCAGGTGGTCGGGTCAGTGGGGACTGGGTGGCCGGAGCGGGGAGGGTCACGGGTCGGGAGGCCGGAGGGGGGGCGAGTGGCCGGAGCGGAGAGGGTCAGGTTTTGGGTCCGAGTTTGAGCTTGTGTCTGGAGGACACTCACTCCCCTCTCCGTCTTTCACCTCCATCCCCGCTTGTCCCGGCCCCGGGGGATCCACTCCGTCACCGGGGTAACCAATCACTGGGGTAACCGATCCCGGGATTTCTGCCGTTAACCGACACCAGCCGCTACGTTGGTATCGTAAAGTAGGACTGCCCCTAAGAGGTTGCTAACCCTCCTGGCCTGAAGGCATGAACAAAAGAAGCAACAGGTTCTCCCTCCGGTGGGTGTTTAAAGACCTTTATTGATTGCTAAAGAAACTTGAAAACAGTAAAAACAAAGAGAGGTGGTTTTATAATTTATAAAGACGGGAGATCATGTGACTAACAAATCTCCTGGAATAGGTCCAACCAAATTTGGCAATCCTCCTGAGATAATTTAATCTGATTTTGTAATTAGTAACACTCTTAACATTCACTTACAGTATTTTGAGTAGAAACATATTTAAAATGTAAACCCATTTGGCCCATCAACCTTCAGTGCTGTTCGATTGATTGTTGTTGATCTCAGCCTTCACTTCCACTTTCCCTCCCCAAATCCCCCAATTCCCAATTGTCAGTCTATCTCACCCTTTCAACAATGGAGCAACCAGCCACAACCCTCGAAACAAGAGAATTCTAACGATTCACAATCCGTTTGAATGAAGAAATTTGTGCTTACATCAGCCCTGAATGATTGGACTCTTATCCTCAGACTGTGTCCAGTGTTCTGGATATCTTTTGTTAATATTCTCTCTCAGCGCTGATGATGTGTAAAATAATCTCCAAATACTGAGATTTAGGTTTAAAGTTTTTGAGAAGATTTGTAGATGAGGTTGTAGACTTGCTCGCTGAGCTGGCATGTTTGATCGCAGACGTTTGGTCACCTTGCTAGGTTATATCATCAGTGCGCCTCCAGTGAAACATTGGTGTTCTGTCCCGCTTGTTATTTATGTGCCTCGGTTTACTGGGGTTGTCGGCATCACTTCCAGTTCTGTTTTTCAGTGGTGTGTATATTGGGTCTAGTTCAATGTGTCTGTTGATGGAGTTCCAGTTGGAATGCCAGGCCTCCAGGCCTCTGGCATGAAGGGTCCCGACCTGAAACGTCAGCTTTCCTGCTCTTCTGATGCTGCCTGGCCTGCTGTATTCCTCCAGGTCTACACTGTGTTATCTCAGACTCCAGCATCAGCAGTTCTTACTATCTCAGGGTGACTAGTGTGTCTGGCCATGTTGTGGTCTGTCGCGGGGGTAACGACGGACACGAATTTGACTGGGACAACACATCCATAATAGCACAAGCCAAACAGAGACATGCCAGGGAATTCCTGGAGGCCTAGCATTCCAACCGGAAGTCCATCAACAAACGCATTGAACAGGAACCGAGAAGCAAACCACTGAAAAACAGAACCGGAAGTGATGCTGACCACCCCAGCAAACTAAGGCATGTAAATAAAAACGGGACAGAAGATCAATGCTTCACTGGAGGCGCACTGATGATGTTACCTAGCAGGGTGACGAATTGTCGCAATCAAACACACCGGCTTGGCAAGCAAGTCTACAACTTCACTGAGATTTAGATTCCAGGCTCCCAGTTGACAGGGCCCCTGTGAGACAGCGTAAAATGATTGATGCCCTACCATGAGTTAAGAGAAAGAAAATCTTGTAATTGTATTATGGTTTGCAGCAAAGCAGGGCATCACAAATCCCTGTTTTAACTAACAAAGTAGTTTTGAAATCTGACTATTGTGTATAAAACACAATTTGTGCACAGCAAGCATCCGCAAATAGCACTCTGATAATGACTGCCATTGTAGGTAACAAAAGTACAGCAAAGTGGTGTGATAGCTAGAAGGAATAAATTATCTTGGAAACTTCAGTTCACCCAAAAGTAGCAACAATTGTTTAGTGCCTTGTGCATGAAACTTGATGAATTGCAAATTGACATTAGGAATCCACGAGCATGATCGATCTCCATGTTCATCCAGTTGGATCAAAGCTTGAGGAACATCCTGCAAACTTCCGGCAATTTCTTTTAGTTGATTTCCTGATCGGGAGCACAAATTCACATCACATCTTAACTGCAGTGGAAAGAGATGATTTGTTCAAAAGATGGGCAACATTTAGTCATGGGTGAGGTGCAGAAGGTAAAAATGTCCCTTCATGGTAAGGAAGAAGAGGAGACCAATTAGTCCGTTGAACCTGTTCCACTGTTCAGTTAAGTAATTGCAAGCCTGTATTCTAAAGCCATTTACACTTCTTCGATCTACTTTCTTATCTAATGAAAGTATCATTCAATTTTGAAATGTCCATTTGACCATTGCCCCACAACCTTTCTCTAAAATTTCCAGATTTTCACACCACTTTATGTAAAGAAGTGCCTCTGACTTAACTCTGAATGGCCAAACTCCAATTTAAATGTTAAGTTTCTTCTCAGTTTATCAATCATCTGAACACAGACCTCACCGATTTGTGTTGGAAATTGGGGGGGTCCCTTAAAAACTGTATTTTCCTAGTATTTACTGTGTATCAGGAGTTTTCATATAGAGTCATAGAGTTGTACAGCACAGATATAGACCCTTCAGTCCACCTTGTCCATGCCGACCGGAAATCCTAAATTAAGCTGATCCAATTTGCCAGCATTTGGCCCATATCCCACTGAACTCTTCCTATTCGTATACCAATCCAGATGCCTTTTTAAATGTTATAATTGAACCAGCCTCCATCACTTCCTCTGGCAGCTCATTCCATACACGCACACCCTCTGTGGGGAAAAAATTGCCCCTTAGGTCCCTTTTAAATCTTTCCCCTCTCATCTTTAACCCATGTCCTCTAGTTTTGGACTCTCCCGCCCTGGCGAAAAGACCTTTGCTATTCACCTTATCCGTTACCCTCATGTTTTTATAAACATTTATAAAGTCACCCCTCAGCCTCTGACGCTCCAGAGAAAACAGCCCCAGCCTATTCAGCCTCTCCCTATTGCTGAAATCCTCTAACCCTGACAACATCTTTGTAAATCGTTCCTGAACACTTTCAAGTTTCACAACATCTTTCCATAGCAGTGAGACCAGAATTCCAAAAGTGGCCTAACCAATAGCCAGTACAGCTGCAACATGACCTCCCAACTACTATAGTCAATGCACTGACCAATTAAGGCAAGCATACCAAATGCCTTCTTCACTATCCTGTCTACCTGCAATTCCACTTTCGAGGAACTATGAACCTGCACTCCAAAGTCTCTTTGTTGAACAACACTCCTCAGGACCTTACCATTAAGTGTATAAGTCCTGCTGTGATTTGCCTTTCCAAAATGCAGCACTCCACATTTATCTAAATTAAACTCCCTCTGCCACTCCTTAGCCCATTGTCCCATCTGATCAAGGTCCCATTGTACTATTCTTTGCTGTTCACTACACCTCCAATTTTGGTGTTATCTGCAAACTTACTAACCATTCCTCCCATATTCTCATCCAAATCATTTAACAGACATTACAATAGCGATTAACATTTTCCAAAATTCTGCATGGGAAAATGAAAGGGAAGAATTATGAGTAACACAGAGGTCACAATGCACGTTGAACTAGCAGTGAAAACTAAGGTGGGCAGGGAGACAATGGTCATCTGATTTCATGAGCAACTGTCCCATGGCCATTGACCAGAAGGGTTCAGACAATTGGTTGACACAGAGAAAATAACCTGACCCCAAAAATATGATCTAAAAATAAATGCTTAGGGCAGAAGCAAGTTCTCAATCAGATAGTCGTCAGAGAGCTGTCTTCACCATATGGAAAATGGACCAGAGGAAGACATAGGAAAGAGTTTCCTTACAGCTCAGCTAGAGAACAGGATGGCTACCCTCACAACTTCAACAAGACCTTATGCACAACAACACAACATTATGCACCAACATCCTGTTGGTTCTCTAGTATCAGCGAACCATCCCCAAATGTTACGATTATACACCTTCTTTATCTAATCAATGAAAGTATCAGATCCAAACTGCTGTTTCTTAACAAACTTAACTACCAGAACATTGCTACAAACTGTTGACCTTCTATATTAGGTAACTGTGATCATGAACCCCCAAAAATCAATATCTGTGGCTGCTCCCAGGCTGACATACCAAGGCAACAGCTGCTAGTGGAGGGCCATCAAATCAGTGAAAGATTCTGTGTGGTCTGCCCAAAATCTGATGGTCTTCTGGTGCAGAGATCTGTTAGAGACCACGTTGTAGATTGGCGCTTTCAGAATGTTCACAATGAAGTATGCACTAAATCTCTGGGCAGCCACTGCAGAATTTCAATGAAGTGAGGACACTGTCTAATACCTGCTCATCATAACACACTGGGAAGCTGAAAACTGTGAAACCAAGAAGAACTAGAGAAATAAAACCGAAAGAACTGCAGATGCTATAAATCAGGAACAAAAGTAGAAGTTGCTGGAAAAGCTCAGCAGGGCTGTCAGCATCTGTGAAGAAGAAGCAGAGTTAACATTTCGGGTCCGATGAGGAAGGGTCACCGGACCTGAAACATTAACTCTGATTTTTCTTCACAGATGCTGCAAGATCCAGAGAATGTTTGACCTGAAATGTTAATGTATATTGTAAATATGATTGGTAATGGCAAGTGCAGTCAGACACCTTATATACTCTTTTGGAAGAATTGCACTTTAAATAATGTCGAATTTGAGCTAGTTGTATTTTTACAAATGGCATTCAACATATAAGGACAGCTCCAAATCATCGAGCATCCAATGGTACAGCAAACTATCTGCTTCGCTTAACAAAGTCTTATGTATGGCATTGGTGTTCTGGATGCACTCCTCCTCCCCCCTCCCCGCCCCCCCACCCCACCCAACGGCTGCCACTGCCAGGTCCGAGAAAATTAGATTTCACTTGGTGTGGAGTCTTCCCACTTTTAGCAGCACTGTTGGAGTATCTCTGCAGTTGCATGAGGGGTGGTCCTATAATCAAAGAGGAATCAGGACATCTAGTGCAGGAACCTAGTATCTAGTGGGATATCTGTGGAGTTAATTCAACCAACATGTGAAAGAAAATCGAAATGATCTATCAAGTCACATTTCATTCTGAGACCTCATTTCTCCAGTAGAAACACCAACTAATACCCATAAGCTTCAATATCTGTGAGA